ACCGCGAGCCATTAAAAACAGTACATAGATCCACGAGCCAATTTGTATTTCATTCTATACAGGACAAGTATAGAAATACATTTGTATATATTTTTACATAAACATACATAGATATTATTTTAAACGGAACGACCGGGTACCCGTCCGTTTTATTAATGGATATTGTATTAAATCTTTTTGTTGGTTCACTGAATAGTTGTTCGATTGGCTGAATGGTTTGGTTGACATACCAAAGCAAAAGAAAAAAAAAGGAAAATAATAATAATAGAATCTATTGGAAATGCATTCGGATGTGCTTTTCATGCGTAACCAATTATTGAAATACGACTTTAATTGAATATCAATAAATTTATACAATTTTCAATAAAATATATCCACCAGAGAGAGAGAGAGACATGGCATGCAAGTGTGCCTGCGATGCCTGTGATTCTCCCCCTTTTATTGAAAACGTTGAACGTCTCCGATTTAGTTAGCATTATGTTAGATTTTATTTTAAAATAAATTTTACACAAAAATGTAAATTTTATTCATGTCCTGTCCTCTGAAAAACAATATAAACGCAATTCAGTAAGAGAGCAAAAATTTTTGATAGGATTATTTTCAACTTTATTGCTTGTGCCTGACTTTTTTGTTTTTTTTTTTTTTTTTGGTTAGAGATGATGTGAGAAAAGATTCGTTTTAATATTTAATAAGATATGAGCATGACATTGGGATCGTATTGGGATTCGTTAATTAAAGGTCATCATCGATTGTCGAAAATTCAAGTAACTTGATATATTTTAAATAGTAGCTTATTTTTCTAGCTGGAAGAACCAGAACCACCCTTTTCGGTTAGATAAAAATAAACAGTTCCATAGGTGAGTTATGCATCACCTGTGTCTTACAAACAAATTGATAACATTAGTATAGAATTATCTTCCCCTGGTACGGAATTACTAATATCGATATCGTTTTCGTTTCGCTCGCTAATTATACGAAAAAGCAAAACAAAAAGAATCATATGTGTATTTATGAAAAGTAAATTTAGTTTCGATTCTCAAAAAAAAGAAAAAAATAAAAAATTTGAATGATATCTGTTTTATTTAATTTGGCCAGTGAAAGTTCTTTTATAGACAGAAAATAAATAAAGTGCAAAATTGATTTTGAAATATAAATCAATCACTTTTGCATCAAGTTGTAAACAAAAGTTAATTAAAAATTTAAAAATTATCTACTAATTGATGAATTTTCAATGCATCTTCTCGTTGGACTTTGCTGCAAACAAAAACTTATTGATAGACACTCTTTTTTATGTAGAGAGGTAAGAGGATCCGTTGCTCCTCCAGAGGAGGAATTCATGTTATGATTATTAAATCATAAATTGGACCGATTGAATATGCATACGGATAGACGTATAAGCTCCAAATTTGCTTTCCTAAGTCAATAAAAATGGAGGAGGTTTTCAATTTTATCAACAAAGGCCTGTGTTCGATAGTATCTTAAGTTTTACATTAATATCCATTTGTCCTTAGAAACCTTTCAATTAGTTCTCACATAAATCAACAAAAGTGCTTTGGTCACCTAAACGTACAACAAGTTTATAAAGCGTATATAAACATATATATCTGTGTTAAGTTCAGCGCATGTGTTTATGCATAAGTGGGGATGCATGAGTTGAAAGGCTCATGATAATGACAAATTCACTCAACTATAATTGCCAAAACGTAAAGTGACAGTTTCCGGTAACAATTTAACAACTTTCACACAACCAACATACTGATGGTTACGTTTTCCTATTGGATACTCCTGAATGCGTGCATGCACGTTAACGTATATTTTTATATATACGGGAGAGGGTAAGAAACAAATTTTTCTTACCCGTATGACTTTTTGATGCGTGACAGTAGAGAAAACTTTTTCTAGAAGTTGATATGTTTAATAGGTACTACTACACAGGGAGAAAAGGAAAGAGGAACTGAGAGGAAAATAAGAAAAATTACACAAATGTCCAAATGATAAATGATGCTAACCAAGATTACATAAGTTGGTAATTTTCTAGTACATTTATTTGTTTAAATATACACAAGCACTTATATACCCACGCGCATACGTGTACATACATACATACATTTTAAATATAAATGCTTAGGCACATATATATAACAAATCAACAGACTTATGTGAAAATGGTTCAAATCCTTATGTCAAGTTCAGGTTTATTTTTCTTCTTTTTTTTTTTTTTTTTTCCTTTATATCAAACCGAATAAAAATGTTCTCTTTTAGGTGGGTAAACACTATTGCTACTTGTATACGTTTTTCATATATATCTGACTTTGTATTTTAAAAATGATGGACATGTTGAAGCCTTTCATTGTTAAGATGAGTTGAATCTCCGTCTCCTTATGGTTTTCATGGTGAACGATTCCTATCAATGATTATATCTATGAAGCATTTGTCAAAGTGTTGATAGCGTAAATGAAAGACAAAACAACCTTTGACGAAAGGTTTGATTACAAAAATTTGCTTATATGCTATAAATTATAAACAACAAAACTATTTTTTTATGGTTTCAAAAAATTAATTTATTGGCGTATACTCTCTTGTGCTGATCTTATAAAAATATTCAATTTACAACCATAAGAGAAAGAAAAAAAAAAAAAAACATTTTTCTTTTTGTGACAAATTTCCAAGATTTTATAAAATTAACGCAAAATCCAAAGAATTGCTTTTTACTAACGTCTCGTAGTAATATTCCTGAATTTATAAAGATTAGTCCTTTTTTTTACCATCCCTGCACTTATGCCATATAAACAAGCATTCATTTGATTTTACCGCCCGCGTTGTGTCTTAGGACACCGACATCCTTATGATAAACTTTACGCTCAGTAAAGATATGTTAACGACTGCAATAAATAAACGGATAATATCTGTGTTAGGCTTTACAAATACGTAAACAAATATCTAAATATATACGGGTTTTGCTACTTTTTCTATTAACCGATTAAGTAACAGAAAAAAAAAAAAAAAACAAAAAAAAAGTCAACCCTCAACCTCCTAAAGTTTTATTTGAATAAAAATTGTACGAACTTTAGTTTTCTCACATAAGTACCTCTCATGGAGATTAAGTCGCACGTACATGTTTGCTGAAGTTCTGCGAAGATTTTATTTACGTCCATGTAAAAAATATCTTATGACGTCGTTTAGTATTTTTATATTTTTGAATTAAAATTCATTAGCTTAATTAGTTTGCTTAACTCAAAGCTTAATCCTAACTAAACTATTTTGATTTATGTAAAATGATCTAAGCATTTTTCAATATAGGTTCAATAGGTATCAATAGGTTGACACAGTATAATTTATCTGTTTTACATACATATGAATGCAAATAGTAAAAATCTACCTACCTATCTAAAAATCACCGCCTTTTTCTTAGAAAGAAAAAAAAAAGCACTGTTGGGTGGACGTAACTAATTGCAGCCATTTTTGTGCAGAAACTCTATGGTTACCCATAGAAAATCTGTGCAACTATTCCTTGTTGTATGTTTTAGCTTACAATTAAACAAAATAAAAATCTAATTTCTTTTGCCTTTGAAAACTAAAACGTTTCAGTCTATGTTCCACTGTGGACGGTGTGCTTTAGTTGAGTTCACCAAATGGCCTTCAATAACTTTGAATGTTTCTGTCAAATCTGAAGCCGAAAGCTTTATTTTTGTGTATAGGAGAATGTCTATCGTAGACATTACACAGACGGACTAACGGACAGACGGTGGTGTAAAAGGACAGAAAGGTAGAAGAATATATTTAAACGGACTCAAAGTGTGATGCTCTTATAGATGGATGAACATACTAAAAATCGATTCAGAAAGCGATACTTATCAAGATAATGTATATTTTTTGCGATCTCTAAAGCTTCCTTTCAAACGTTCAAGAAAGTGAGTGTACCCCATTCTTAGGTGATGTGTATATATCGACCCAATAATTTATTTAAGGAGAAGAATGAAGAGTTTGTAGTGTTTGGAAAAAGAAGGAAGGGATTCGTGCAGTGCTTGTTACTTTTATGAAAAAAGTTTGAATAGCGAAGAAGTTCAGTCAAACCAAATTCCAAATCAACTGGAAGCGACACTTGCAGGCTACAAACGTTGCACAATCAATTGCAATTCTACGTTTCAATCGTTAACTTATTGTCACTGAAGAATTACTTACAATTCTTCTCACAACAATTTTATAGGGCTAAGGAACAGATACTTACAGAGTAATTGAAAACGGCGTGAGTAGCGGAAAGAAAGAAAAGGTTAAACTTTGGCTTTCAGGAAATAATAAATCAAAATTCCTGTGGAATGAAGCGGAATTACGATCTAGAGATCAACAATTGTAGTGGACCGATCTGACTATGATCAATAACATTTAATTATTACGAAAAATTTTATTGATCACCCTTGCCAACTTTTTTTTTTTTTTGTTGCTTGTCAATTTGGGCCACTGAAGAGTATAATGATGATCACGAACGATTGGATATTAATCGCAAACACATCATGCGTGGATTCGTGGGTTACCTCCCTGCTCTTTTATTTGGAGTTTTAACTCGGAAGCGGTAAAAACTTGCACCAGACAGATCGTGTTATAATTTTCTTCAGTTTTTTTTGTCGAAATGTCCGAGAAACATACCTAACTTTCGCTCGCAGCTAAGTTCAGAGATGACATTATAGAAAATTACTTAGTACATATCGATTTTAATTTCCTCCCCGCTTTATATGATTTTCTTTTGCTTTAAATCTATCGTAAACTATCTGTGCTTTGCTGGCTGATTCTACACATTGTATTGATATGACGACAATTCAAAAATTCCCATATGTACTATTGGGTCAATTAGTGTCAGTGTGATTTTATTTTCAGATATATATTTTTTGTTTTTTTTTTTTTTTTGTGTTCTTCTAAATAATAATAATTTAGACGAAATAATTCTAATCGATAAATTTTGCAAAATTTCTCTGTTTAAGAAGAGAGAATACGGCAAAGCATTGATGGCACGTAAAGATAATCCGGGTATTTATCCAAAAGGTATTATGATTTCGTGATATTTCCGCTGAACAGTTTCATAAAATTTTGCAGCGGATTATAAATCACAACAAACGTTCAGTCCAAGCCTTGATTATGAAACGGTTTTAATAAAATTTCGTGAAGATTTTAACAAGCGATGGGAAAGTAATACGGTCTCTCCGGAAACTGGTCTCGAAGGTTTCGATGAGAAAGCCACTCTAGGTGCTGGTTCATTCGGTCGTGTGGTAATGTGAACCCTGAACTTATCGATTATGCTTGAAAAATAATTTATTTCCATTCCGGGGTTAATGTTACTTTTTTAGGTGTTGGTTAAAGAGAAAACTTCAATTCGTTATTTTGCGGCGAAAATTTTGCTAAAAGATCAAATCGTTCGGACAAAGCAAGTCTCTCACGTTCATAACGAAAAGAAGGTTTTGGAATGTATACGTTTTCCGTTTCTGATATATTTAGAATTCGCTACCAAGGATTACGATTGCCTATATTTAGGTTTACCTTTCATAAATGGTGGCGAATTGTTTACCTATCATCGCAAGTATGTATTCCAATCGACGCGACATGATACATGAGTTTTGCTATATTTGATGTTATTATCTCTCTAAGCAGAGTTCGTAAGTTCAATGAGAAGCAGGCACGCTTCTATGCAGCTCAAGTCTTTTTGGGGCTCGAATATATGCATAATGTACATTTGCTCTATAGGGACTTGAAACCTGAAAACATACTCATCGACAACAATGGTTATCTGAAAATTACTGACTTTGGCTTTGCGAAAGTAAGTATATAAAGTGGGGAATGTGCTCATCCAATTCTAGGAGACGAGGGCATATGTCTATCCGCTTTCTTAGAATGACTGTAAAGTAATTATGAGATCAATGTCTTAACATTAAGTTTCACTGCCTATGCAATGACAAAAAATGCTTTCACTCTTTTGGAATTGTATTCAGAAAAAAAAAGTGGAACAAAACGAGCAAATTTCGTGCGGAATTTCCGAGTTTAGTTCAAATTTTTGGACTGGAAAGTTACCAGCGTTTATAAAGATGTAAGATTATTCGATCGGGGCCTTCATTTATTCGTCAGGCGCTCTACTTTCATTGGTGGCTTTCTAAGTATTTCATTTTACAATTAGAATCCTTCCGATTTTAGTTCAAATTTGAAACTCGGAAAAATTTTATAAATTTTGCAAAATTTTGAATTTATGCATCAAAGGCAGGGGATAAAGTTTCTATGAAATCCCTAAGGGTTGGTTATTAGAAATTCGCTTTAGATTCGATTAGAGTCTTTTGACATCACTTCGCTTTAAATCCATTTATTAGAAAGTGGAAACACGTACAATGACCTTGTGCGGTACCCCCGAATATTTGCCGCCCGAAATAATACAATCAAAACCCTACGGTACGAGCGTAGATTGGTGGTCATTCGGTGTGCTAGTATTTGAATTAGTCGCGGGCAATTCACCTTTTTCGCCATTTAGCAAAGATGTTATGGTTATGTACGCGAAAATCTGTGAAGGTGAATACAAAATGCCTGCCTTCTTTAGTGCGCAACTTAGAGATTTGGTCGATCATTTGCTGCAAGTCGATCTATCAAAAAGGTAACGATAAAAAAAGATTAACAAAATGGAAAAAGAATAACTAAGTAGATGGTGTTTTAACGTTTCACTTAGGTATGGGAATTTAACAAATGGCGTTAAGGATATCAAAGATCATGCGTGGTTCAAACCAATCGATTGGTATGGTCTATTAAATCAAGAAATTGCAGCACCTTATGTACCCACGGTGGCGAATATGGAAGACTTGTCAAATTTCGATAAATATCCGGAACCGAAACCAATGCATAAATCAAAAACTAATCGTCACGGTGAAGTGTTTGCAAATTTTTAGCGTATAAAAAGGAAATTTTTCAATTCATTTGGCATATTTTTGACAAATCGAATCGAAAATGGGTAATAAAATGTTTTAAGTGCAAATAAAATGAATGAACAGAATCAAAATTCGTAGTTTTAAGCATTTAAGATGAATAATTCATAATGAAATGCTTAGAAATAAAGTCAAGGTAAAGAGGAGATTAAAGCATTCAAATGCGTATGGAAAAGTGTATACAATCGCCGCTTGCGAAAAAGGAACGGATATGTCAAGCAAACAACAACATTAACAACAACGAAACAGCCACTGTTCAAAGGAATAGATGAAGGGATGCGTACAGTGAGAATGTACAGTGTAAAGTCAGGGAAGAGTACAAGAAAATTGGCGCCTGGCTGACGGGCGCCAAAGAACAGAGGTAAAATCAGGAGTATAACTGCTGCGAAACTATGATTATACTATGATGATGAAGATGATGACGATAACAAAAGAAAACGGAAAAATAAATAAATAAATAAATAAATACATGAAACAATATATATATATATATATATATATATACATAGAACCAAGAAGGGGCATTCGATAAAACATAGTGCAAGACGTGTTAGTGTAAATTCCGAGAATGACAAAATATCGCAAAAAACATTTGCCTCTCCTTCATCCCGTTAATATTGTTGTTTTCTTACTACTGTGCTATGGGATGTGATGTTTCATCTTTTCCACATGAAAACTCACGTAACACAAAATTATGATAATCATAATTTTTGCTTACAGTTTTTTTCCATGTTGCTTGCCCTAACTTATTTGTATGTTAAGTTGTCCTGTCGTTCGTTGGTTTATATTCAATGCTTACTTTACTCTTACTTTACTTCATCTCCTTTCAGCATTTTTTTTTTTTTTTCGGTATACGTTGTCTGGACAAAGCGTATTTTTTCATTTTTTTTTTTCAAAAAAACTTTATGAAGGTTGTGTGGCGTTGAAAAACACACATAAATGTTAAATAACCATAAAAGGTATATCGAGCAAACATTTTGTTTTCTATCGCTTGTAATACCCAAACCCTCTCAAATTATCAAGAAAAAAAAAAAATAAATAAAAAATACGTAAATAAAACAATGGCTTAGGTCGAAATTTTCAGTAGTCATCACCACCATCCGGTAAATATTTACTTACATGTACATACATGTAGTAGTATGTTTGGCTTTGATATATTTCTTTTAACAAATTTTGAACCAATTTCTAGCTGATTTTACATTCTAAGGATCATACTTGTATGCTTCGTCCCATTTCTAGGCCGAGCTTCGCTTATTGCCGTCATAGATAAAAATGGAAATAGTGGAAAAAGATTTTTTCCTTCATTTCTGAATCAGGTTCGGCACAATTTTCATATCATTTAGGCGAATAAATATGTTTAGCTGAGCGTTCCTTTGCGTGGAAGTGGTGCGAGGAGGCAGTGGTCATTTTAACAGATATTTGGGTGAGATAGGTATATGTGTTCGGCTTGGTCAAGAATATCGGAGCATATACGTATATGTAGCAAGCGTTTCGTAAATCCAACACATTCCCAGTGATGTGTGTAACGGAAAAAAAAGGAAACGTAAATCAAATGTATATGAAATTTGATAAAAGACTGTACATAAATCAAAACGTAGTGATCACGATATTGTGAAAAGGTATAAACGATTTATTAGGTTTCTGAGGCGACTTTGGGGTACATGTTTAAAGACATTTTTTTTTTTTTTCATATTATTAATAAAGCGAAATATGTTGACAGCAAATCATAAGAAGTGTGAGCGCACTTCAATTCCACTTTTCATTCATGGCACTTAGATGCACTTTAAAAAACTTTTACTATTAAGGATATTCTGCTGACACTGCGCAGATTAAAAAAAAAAAAATCACTTTACTGAAATATCGCTATTGATAATGAACTCTTATCCTAATCTGAAGCAGCAACAGATGATTGCTAGCAAATACATATCTGGGAAGAAATAATTTGAAAATTTAAAGCAAACATTCGTTTACGACAAACAAAAATACTACAGATGCGCATATCCTATCATTAAATACCCTACATCGCTTCGCTTAGTACAGTTGTCTATTTAACGACTTTTAAAAATGAGCCGAATCCAAGCCAAATTCAATAGAGTTCGTCCTTGGCCAAAACTTGTCCGTCAAAATATCTTAAAAATTGCAACCTTTAGGATGAACACAAATATATAAAATGGACAGACGGACAGACAAGCTTCGAATCTCTCCTCTCAGCTTGGAAGTAGTCTCTGAATGAGTATGCATAATAAAAGATTGATCTATCTCAAGTCCTTTTTGGTATCGCACACATCCGCACAAACGTAATATACCCTTGTAACACAACGCTGTGTAAGGGATTAAAAAGAAACAAAAATTAGTTTAAACCTTAAGTTAACCCTTCGCTACTGTGCATAGGGTAGACAATACAGCTTCAACATAAGACACGTGCCTTACTCTTTATACATATATTTCGAACAATAAAAGCGATGCAACAATTTTTCAGGTTTTCCGCTTTTCAAAAGTAAACAAAAAAGAATTATTTTTTTAATAGGATCGAAGATCATCTTCTGCATGAGGTAATATTTACCGTGAATAAGTGCGATAACGTTAATCTGTGTACAAAAAACGTGCTACAGTCATTGAGAGCTTTAAGTTATATAGTAACGTTGTAGGCACCCTTATTACTGACGATATATTCGTAGTTATGCTGAGATTTTCTAAACAAAAAAAAATTAAAAAAAAACAAGAGAGAATGACAAACAGTTTTTGTTCGTGCGAACACGTCTAGTATTGGCATCGTCATTATTGTCGACACTATCTTCCTCATTACCAACAATAATAAGCAGTCCTCACCGCACATGTGTGTGTGTGTTTGTGTGTGTGTGTGTTTAGACGGCTGCAGCGTTGTTTTTTCACTTTATTCCAATCAATTGATTTGTGAAAAGCTTTCAAGCGACCATGAGTTGTGCTAATTAAAAACTGAATGCAGTTTATATGTTGCTTGTCACAAACAAGCACTTAAGCATTATTCTATGTTAAGATGGAATAACAACGACAACAACAAGGAATTCTTTCGACATTTTTTTATTTATTAGATTAGATTAGAAAGTAATAGCTAAGCCTGTGCGAATTTAATGAAATATTTTTGTTCATTCGATATGATGTTAAGCATTACCGATAAGTCTTTTATATTATGTTCTCTTCTCATTCCTTACACGTTCTACGCTTGTTGGAATTCAACTTCTATCGATACGGGTAATTCCGTTTGCAATTCAGGCGCATAAACTTTGCCTGATACCAAAATAAAATTACTTTCGCAATCCATAATAAAATACAAAAATGGATGATCGATAGCTATCAGCTCATAATGTTCAACGTTTCCGTTTCTACCTTGAGTATCGGTTGCCGAAATGGCAGCTTGACTATTGCCAGCCTCATCGACTCGTATATTAACGAATTGTACAATCTCGTCCACATGTATATCCCCGTCGTCTGATAGTAAACTGAGATCAGCTTCGTGACGTGAAAAGATTTTCGTTAAACCCAAGCTTTTCAGCATCGATTCGGAGCGTGAGGTCTCTTCGAACTGGAATTTTGGCAAAACTACATGTAGATTATGTTCCTTCATACGTGATTTCATTTCTTTGAAATCATTTGGCGTTATTTGCTTTACAAGATCATGTAAGCCTTCAAGTTCATTCGGCAATATAATCATCATTGTGTATTTTTTATTCTATAACATGAAAACTTATATGAAAACATTTTATCGAATTGTTTAACAATTTGAATTAATTTACCTGATAAGGAAGGCAGAGAATTTTGGCATTCAAATGCTCTACTTCGGCCATATGAAATTTACCTTTGGCATGCATCATAGTCACTTTTGTAGCATCCTCGGCGGTCATATAAAAGAATTCATCATTTTCACTCTCATGTATGAACGGTGTAGACCATCTGCCGCGATAATACAAACCATTGAAGAGTAACATTTTAGTCTTGGATCCCGTTTCACGACCTGTTATCGCATTAGCACTCAAAGCTGAGGTTATGTCATCATTTTGGAATAGACTCCGACCACTAAGCACCTAAACACAAGTAAAAAGTTTACATAAGAATAAAATTCCAGCAATAATCATATCACAAAATATCTAAGATCTCTAAGCGCTTCAAAGAATCTAGTAGATCTTTAAGATAATAAAAAATCGATTTGACAAGAGAAGAAGTCTTTGTAACGAACACGTATATATACGAGTGTAAGAGAATAAACGCTTTTAGGCGTCTTAGCGTACGCCAAGTTCTCATAATTTTTAATCCGAGAGTACATACGCGTAACCAATCAACATTCACTTAAGTTAACACCAAGTCATACTCAGATAATGTCGCCTATTAAATACTCCATACCCTTCTACGTAATACAATTCTTTGCTTATCATCTTCGCCATCGTCAATTAACATAAATTAGACCTTCTTCTTGCCTTGCAAGGATTTATTTTTGATGAAAATTCTTATACAAGAAACGGACCAAACATTTCCAAGGTCCAAGCTCAATGATTTTTCTCAAAAGTACATTTATGAGCGGGTCTCAGTCCATCGAAATTCTCCATATATATTTGGCAGGATGCTAGAAATTATTTCCCTTTGATTGTCGTCGAGAAAACATCGAAACAGCAAATTTTCATTGCCATTTGCAAATCCTTTCCTTCCCAAGCCTGTCATCGAAACGCTTTGTTTGGGAGCAAAAACCATATGAACACACACAAAATAAAGGCACACATAGCACAAATGTAGTATATCTTGTGCTGCTACTGACGTAGTTTGTCAGTTAAGCTCACACGTGCTTTTAAAAAAATTTTCCACACTTTGCATAGGGTTGCTTGAGGTTGTCGGGGGAGGGATTCTCGAAAGTAGTAGCTAATGCTATAGGTTTCAAATAAATGCTTATGACACACAAGCGAAGCAAAGGGAAAAGTTTCAATCAAACCTAACCAACCTAACAACCTTGGCATCTTTCACTTACATTTCTTGCGGTGCATACATGTGTTTCTAGAGAAGTTGCTGTATCGCTTGCAGACGATTTCGAAGCCTCATCTAATACAGCTGCAAGTTTTTCCAAGGGCAACGACACCTTTTCCGGTTCATTTGAATCTAAAACATCTTTTATTGGCACCAACAGCTCTTCGCCTATTTGTTCAGCATTTTTGTTGCTATTAAGATTTTTAAAGATTTTTTCTTGTTCCTGCACTGTTTCATTTTCTTCCAAATTTAAGTCATCCTCACGCTTGCTTTGATCTCCAATTGAACTCTTAACCGCATCTTGTACGGAGACGGCATCATCAACAACAGGTTTTTCATCTACATCTTCTAATTTTTCATTGCTTTCTGGTTTTTTGTTTATATCATCCGTTGCTGCAACCGGTACATGTTGTTCTTTAATGATTTGTGGTTTTTCCACATACTGTTGATCATCGATGTAACGATCAAATTTGGAAGTTTCTTTTTCTATAATTTCGTCACCGTAACTATCGGTAATAGAATTTGCTGTTGTTATAGTTTTCTCTTCTTTCGGATAATCGCGTTGTTGTACATCATTAACATTTACTATACTGTCGTCGTATTTTAAACGCTTCAATGTTTCAAAACCAATAACATCTTTGCTATTACTCGTGGTAGTGCTGGGAAAGCTTTCAAAGTCTAATGACGAAGTAGAGTCAAACCAACCGTAATCATTATGATTGATATCTTTAACGTCCACATAATAATAGTTTTGCATTAGCTGCTTGAAATCATTATGAGCGGTAAAATTGCGATAGATATATAACCAGGTTTGAAACGAAGGCTCCATACCGTAAACACGGCCCTGATAATTGCCCAAAATATTTTTAAAATTTTCCCTTAAAGCCAAACGATCTTTGGGATAGTATAAGACTTTGGAAAATTCTTCATAGGTATCACCTTGAGCAGCTTCGGCTAATATTGCCAACATCGTAGTTATGCCAAGCGGTGAATGTACCTGATTACCATCGATATCGTTATAAGATTTTAACAAATTTAGTGCAATTATTTGTGAAGCTTCACTGGCGTAGTTTATTGCGTCAGCAGCAGATGCCTCTTCTTCGATTTCATCATTCCTGGCGGGTAGAGCCCACGTTAAGGTGATGGTTATTAATACTAAAATTATAAAATAATATTAAAAAATAAAAATGCACTTTTTTTTTCGTTTTTTTTTTTTTTTTAGAAAGACTTCTTGATGCCAACTTACTTATCAAGCCTGCTTTCATTTCTCTTAATACCATTAAATGTTTACGTAAGAAATTCTTACTTGCTAGCTGGAACACAGTTTAAAAGCGAATGAACTTCAGCTAAAGCCTATCAAAGGCTATAAGCCACAATTGCAATAAAACTAAAAGAAAAATAAAAAAAAACTGTACTCTCACCATACGCTTCGATATAAAAGAACACAACAATAAAACATCACTTATAAAGTAAACACTGACATGACGACAATCTACAGTTGTGGAACTACTTGTGTGTTGACCAATAAGTCAGTAAAGCTTCCCGGTGAGGTTCATAGTCAAGTTTTAGTGTCAAGTTAATCTAACTTACCGAAGCAACATACAAGGAGAATGTTAACTTTTACTTTGAAGAATCTTTCTCTCTCTCTCTCTTTCTCTCTCTTTCGCTCTCTCTCTAATTTTTTCCCATCTGACATTTGTGTACAATGATGAATTCTTGTTTGATTCCATTGTTCCACCATCGATAAGCTTCATACATGCACATATATATATATATATATATATAGCCATGTTTAGGCTCATATAATAAATATTTTAAATATTTAGTATATGTTTTTTAAATATGTGCATATTTAACATTTAACTCTTTTTTCTTTTTTTTTTCTCCTATACCATAAACGAAAGCGATACTCTCGTATTATTATTGCGGTGATAAAATGTAGGTCAAGTTTTTTGTGTTTTGTTGTGTCTTTTATTTATTCTTTCTCTTCATTTATGTTAGTCGTGCGTAGGCAAATAACGTACCACTCATGACAATTTACGGTAATAATAAATTTAAGTTCAATAAAACTTTAATTTTCTTGAAAACATTCAATAAACTTGTTGCGTTGTGACGTTGAAGAACTGGTTCCTTGTTAACACCATATCGTGATAATTAATTTTTTTTTTGCTTACAATTACACTGAGAGATTAAATAATTGTGTTAATTACATCTTATACAGTTTGTCGAACAGAGTATATTAAGTTTGTACGGGTATATGTAACGCTCGGAACTAGCGTTCCACACAGATTGATTTAAAATCATTTAAACTTGTATGGCTTCTCTAACTGCTTTTCACTTGTTGTGGTTGCCCATATAACTGTTTCTATGAAAAAAGGTGATGATGTTATGAGTAACTGCACGAAATTTGCACCGCGTAGGTGGTACTCCACCTCATAGAAAAGTTCTCATGGAACTCCAACAGTAAAGATTCATTTTTAGTATTTAATTGCGAAAATGGGCGAAAAATAATAAGGTATTTGGCAACAAATTAGTTTTAATAAAGTAGGACCATAACAGTTCACCTTTTGGATTCGCTTCCGTACAAACACGTCTCCCATAAAAAAAAAAATGCCTTCTCATGCAAATAAAATATAATTTTCCGCATTTTTTTACGAAAGTGAATGGAAAGCTATATTAGTTGTAGTAGTGTAGGGTATTTGATATAGGCCTTGCCCGATTATAAAATTTTTGCTACTTTTTTTTTTAGTTTTGCTAGTTTTCCATGCTAACTTCCGGGGCACCTACAAACAGATTTGTCTTTAAAGAAAAAATTTATTTTTCCTTCTAACTCGCATAACATCTCTCCAGTAGTGTATATTATGCAAATTGAAAAAATGTCCGATATAAAAATTTTTCCTTTCCAAGCTAACTTTTCAACAATAATTATGCCTTTTTAGGTAAACTAGGGGGCAACAAAGAAAACGTGTACAAGAAATTTTAGCTTAAACTGTTTGTTGTTCTTTTTACTGAGCTATGCTATGCTTGCTTGCCTCACTTCATAAATAAGTGGCTCTTGATATCTTGATTGCGCAATTCGTACCATTGCTATGGCCAAGTTTTTTGGCTCATTCAACCTTTCCTCATGCCTGTAAAAGTTTTTCCTTTTATACTTTACAGTGCTGCGCGCATTACGGCATTACGTTAAACGGCAAATGACTTTTGGGTATAACAACAATCTTGGGGGGGGAAGAAGGGAGGGATTTGCTTGATTGGTTTGGGAATATCATTTCAATTAAAAGGTATAATAAGTTGCACTATTAAAGTACAAGCAAGCACCATCGCCAAGGTAAGATCTCTCATCACCAATCATCATTTCCAGCACTTTATTTATTCATCATATTGATTAGTTTCATTAGTTAGATCAAACGAAAATCTATGAAAAGACTTTAGTAAAGTTTTATACAAAACGTTAAGTGAAAATTCAATTGAAACGAATTAAGTGAATTTTCTTTCAGATAAATATGCGTCAAATACACTTATCAAGCAAATCAGTGCGTTACGCTAGAGAACTTTAAGCCACAAGAAGTTGAGTCTTTTTTATTAACTTCACTTTAAAGTTTTAATTTTTTTTTTGTATTTGTAAAGACATTGATGATATAAGTATTTATCTTACGGGGAGAATTTCTTTCGCTCTTTTTAAATAAAAGCAGAAACTTGATTTTCTGCTATTCAATCGTCTCTCTGTTAAGTTTTGTAATCTAAACGCAGTTCTGATGATAACGCATAAGACAGTGGTCTTATATCCAGTTGTAACCTGTCCGATTGACCGGTTTATTTGCTGAATGTCTTTCAGTTAATAATGGACAGGAAAGACGAGAAGAAGTTCATTGTTCTCCCATTCCTTTTTGTTTATGTTATACTTTATGCTGTATATATATATAATTGAAAAAAACTTTTTAAAATGCATTTGAAAAAAAGTTTTTTTTTTTTTTTCAACAACAAGAGCTTGCTTTGCTGATATATTCCTTCCACAATCAGTTTAGTTATCACATAATAGATAGGTGGCATATACGACTTGATCGGCCTAACTGGTAACTGGGGGAAGAATCGATCTTGATTGGCTGTTGCCGAGAAATCCTATGAAGAACGTTATAAATAAGATACGAAAAAAATTAATATAATATTATAATACATTATCTAGCTTTATACCCTGCCATCACTTGTGGTGCAACGGTATATTAAGTGTGTGCCAATCTGTGCTACACCCAACAACAGACATGAGACAGGTCCACCTTTTATTATATATATCGATTTAGAATCAGTTGCTGAAGCGATCCATGCTTGTCTGTCCATCTGTCCATCTTGAAGTCATGTTATTCAATCTACAATTTTTGAAATATTTTGATCAAATTTGTCACATCGAATTCTTTCCCATATAATGACCTTTTTTGGAAACCTGTATGACTAGCTGCTTTAAGCGAAATGGTGGATGGGTAATGCTGGACCATGACCCATTATAATGTTTTTATTTGTCTTTTATTTGTCAGAAACAGAATGTTTTTCAATAATAAAGCAGAAATGGGCTCATCGTTCATAAAATTGTGTTATATGCGCCTCCAAGGTATATTGAACATATCAATCGGCTTGAAACACACCGATAAGCTGCAAATGAAAAAAAATTGAATTGAATTAGAAGTGGCTTCTTGAGTGTGCGTATGTACAGAGGTCAAAAACTGGAAAAATTTCGAAAAAAGTTTTTTCATTAATAGACAATGAAAAAGTTCCACAATCAGTCAACGGTTAGAATAATGGATTTTGTTAAAGCGATCTTCGTATTTGTAGCAAGGAATTGAAAATTAGATGGATTTGATAAGTATTTTCCTCTAAAAAATTACTTCATTCAATTTTCGTAAAAATGTTCCATCAATTTGATGAATTCTCATAAAAAAGCCGCAAAAATTTTTATGATAATGATTTTAAAGAAAATTTATCAAATGCTGAAAGTAATAGTAAACTCGAAATATCACAAATTCTTCCTATTATCCTATCTTTTGTAAAAGCAAGAAGATTTTTGTTGATATTAAAGAAAGAAAAGCTAAGATATCTCGAACCTTCTTTAAAAGTAAAGTATGAAAGAAAGAGAAAAAATAAAAAAAAAAAAAATTCACAAACGCCCAAACACCCACTAATCAATTGCGCACAGTAGAGAGAAAGGAGTGAACACAAAAGTTTAAAAACAAAAACAAATTAGCGGTATAACGAAAGTTGCCTTAACGGCGGCTTTACTATTAATTAACCTTCTTTACCATTTCCAAAAAGTTTCGAACGATTGCTGAAGATATCATAATGCAGCGACAGCAGCAGCAGCAGCAGCAGCACAACAATAAATAAATGTTTTGGTTTTGAATGAAAAATCACGGTATAAACTGGCTGGAATCCATATAGAAGGCATTGCGATGCTATGCGATGCTGTTAACTTAGAAAGTAGTATTGGTTGAGATGACGATGGTGCGATGTGAAGGAAGAGCGAATGTTTCCATAAAGGGAGCAAAAAACTTTTTCCATTATTTCGAAAAGCCACAGGAATGAAAATGAAATAGTAAAAAATTTATGAAGCATTTAATTGAATAAAATTAAAAGTAAACCTACCTAAGGAGTAACAAATTCAAAAACAATAACCATAAGGATTATTCGCAGCGCAATCAAACCAATTTTCTTTTATAGAAAACTTCAACTGTTGAGCTTGAGGTATTTGTTCAGTAATAAACGACAATTACACAAAGACTGTTTGTTACTTTCAAAAGTGTAATTATTTTCAATTATTGCGACAACAACAATATTATTATAAAATTTATACCTTTTGCGTTGGCATGTGAGAAGGCTCAGCCGAAAAATCATAGCAAAAATGCCACTAGCTAACTAAACTCGTAAAGAGTTTGAAATAAATCAGGAAATGCAAGCATCACTTTCTTTAGTTGTTTTCAGCTTTTCTTGCTGGCTATTGTGCAAAAAATATTTGACATACGCTTAACAATAAACGCCACCGCACAATAACGAAAGTTGGTGAAAATTAAAAAATTCCGTCATATACACGCATACACGAACACAGTCACACACGCACACAAACAGAAATATGTATATCCTCTTAAAAGTTGTTCATTCGCCATAAGTCAAAATTATCAACAAGCTTCCAAGCATTACTAAGAATTATGCTTCGCATCTGTATATGATATTCAGTTAAGCCGCCATCTAAAGCAAACACACCACGACTAAGCTCACTGTCCCCTCCCTACCCCACCCCGAACGCATAAATGTTACTTTTTCTAAACTTTGAATGAGTGAAAGACATCTTTAACAGTTTACTCTTGCATTGACTCGATACTCGTGTCGTTTCTGCCCAATTCTTCATATCTATTCTGGCCTATTTATGATGATGATACAGGAGGAAAAACCTTAACGTCTCCACCACACGCAGACAGGCATACATAACTTGTCAGAATGCGTACAAAAAAACGCCAAAAAAAAACAACAAAAAAATGTCACGTACGACACACGCAACATTTCGAAAAATATGTCTTTGATGTCATAAATCAATTAGAGTGTTATGCACGCACGCTACTACGAGTTATGCTTTTCGAAAAACAGGATCAAAAAAAAAAAAAAAAGAAGAAGAAGAAGAAAAACGTGTAGATGAATCATCCTTGACATTTCATTTGTTTGCTTTTCCTCTTCTATTCTCTTCTCTTCGCTCTTTAGTGATTTAAGATGGCTTAGTAATGCGTTATCACTACCGTTGGATAATTTTCTCAGAATTTTATAATTGCTGAAAATTTCATTATTTTTTTTTTCCCTAATCGAAAATTCATATAAAGAAAAATTAAAAGAAGTGTCCTTCGAAAACACGCTGTGAACTCATGGCGTTGAAAACCGATTTTCTACTTTGACTTTGCAATTTTTTTATCATGCCAACGGTCTGCATATTGTCAAATTATTATTTTGACTTATGGCCTAAGAAGAATATGCGCTGCATTAAGCAACAAGTCTTCAAACATTAATTATTTCGCCAATTCATCAAAGGCGAGTGTAGAGATTTGATCTTTTATGAGTTTTCTATGAATTTACTTAAACCGAGAAAAATTGGGTTTTTGCAGCTTTGGGGCTAGGATTTCTTCAATGTCTATAAGAAGAGAGTTAGTCTATTGTTACTGTCTCCTTCCACTTTTACTACATTGTTGTTGTTGTGTTTGTGCTGATTGAACCCACCTAGAACTCACTCAGAATCCGTTACTTTATTTTCATTTCTATCATTGTTAATACTGCGCTTCTAAACTTACTTAGCCCAAGATTAATATTCAAAATTGTTAAAATGTCAATTATACACGAAGGAAACTTCTTGAAGAGCGTTAAATCCCGTATCGAACTGGCCATGTCTGGCCGTCCGTCCTCCTATGTGCTTGGCACTCTCTGTCTCTCTTTCCGAGAAAGTGTAGTCTTTATATAAAGAGGGAGAGTGAATGACTTTATTCAAGGCCTTTTGCAGAAGAGATATAAGAAATCCCCAAGATATTCATTGCGCTGCCGTTGTACTGCCTTTGGCATTTGACAGCTATCTCTAGATGAACAGTTTACAAGGTTTTAAAAAAGTTACTTCAAAGATGTAGTTAATAAAATGAAAACTGATTGATAAGGAGGAGCTGAGCTTGATAATCACAAAGAAAAATAACTACATTTTGATTTATGTGTATGTAATTTCGTTGTTATGATCCGTTGAATGAAAAGCAAGCAGTTAACTTAATTAGAAAGCATTCTTCGAGCAGAAATGTCGCCCGCTTCCTCCCTCCTCACCCACACACGACTCACCACCTTTTCTATCTTTCGAATCAAAAGCAAAATAATTATGTGTTTATTTAGTAAAGTGACACATACACCTACAAACAAAGCATATGAAATCTGCTTATTAACTGTTTGCGTACACATAGATCCCTATACAAACACGTGCAAATGCTTTATTGCTGATGACGCGTTTAGAGTTCGAATAAATGAGAAATAATTAAGATACAATAGGAAAAAGTGATTATGTGTAAATGTATTTGAAAAAAGATAATCAGTTACGTATAAACAGTCATATGAAATATGAATATGTAAAGAATGTCTGCCTTATCCGAATGATAGTAAGCGAAATAAAAATTCATTAGAAATCAAAGAAATGTCAACAAAGTAATGAAGAACTTTCACCTCTTGAGGCATAATTCATTAATGCGTATGAGTACATGTATGACATACGGATGATTTAATGACAAACAAAAGGTGGTGTTTATCATAAAAGTCACATGTCTTGTCGCTAAGAAGAAACAGAAGCACATTTTTTGTATTCTTTCATGACGCATTGGAGTATTCTTTCTAAGAACGCATTGGAGAAAATAATAATCTAGATTTGATAAATTATTCAATTTATGAGAAATGACAGATTATTCGGAAATTAGGCAATGTTTAGTTTATACTGTGTGCGCTCAAGTTACTTTAAATTTATTTATTACAATTTATTTATTTTCAAAAAAAACAAAATAATTTATTAGAAAACTCATTTGCCTTTAAGTTAAACAATTAGTCATAATTCTCTCTCTTGAAAGGTTTATCAGGCGACCTGACCACATGCATAAACCATTTTGCGTTGTTGTGGTGTGTACTTCAAATATTTCTCAGTTGCCTTAGACGAGCCCCAAAAGTCTCATAAAAAATATTTTTTATATCTTAAATTATTTGTGGTACAAGGGTGTAATATTAGGTTTGTAGGGATGTACACAGTCATCGAGAAGGACGCGAAATAGATTCACCTTTTATTATACCAGATATTCAGAACGTGATTCTGAATGCATATAAGCTTAGATATCCATGTGTCTGTCTTGTTTTCTTGTATTCAACTCACAAGTGGCAAATTTTGGAGTTAATTTGAGGAAATTTTGATAAAGGGGTGTACTTTGTCGTCCCGAGGTGGGACGAACGCTATTGAAACTGTGTCAGATCGGACGGCTTCTTCTTCGCTTCCCGTATAATGCCTGATTCAAACAACTGGTGTAGAGTGTTTAATGATAGCCGTGGCTTACTATAATGCTCTTTCACTTGTTCAATGTTAAGTAAATATCTTAAAGTTGTCCTCGTTCCTTTCCCTTGGTCGAAGAGATATAAGCAAATCTTGTTTTTCTACACTTTGGTGACATCCAACGTCCACAGGAATAATTTATATTCGCATTAAATGAGCAAAAAACCATACAAGATTGTGGTAATAATTTTAAATTATTTCTAATATTCTTTCGCTTAACCCAGGAGGAGTATCCTTATCCTTATTTTATCCTATATTAAATAACTAAACAAACGAGATAAACCGGTGAGTTATTATAATATTTTCGAAAAACACTTTCGGATGAACTCACATATATGTAATAATTTACATAGAAAAGTTAACAGTAGTTTAAATAAATATTTTTATGAATAAACAACAAACAACCCTTTCTTAAAACTTTCTTTAGTTTCATAATAAACTTTTTCCTCCCAACAGTTAGGAGAGAGAATAAAGAAATGGAAAAGTAAAAGTTTTTCCACTAAAGGCAAACTATCAGTTAAACTACCTTAATGGTGTCTAATGTTTCCCTAGAGGTAAAAGGTTTATGTTAAAAGAGAAAAAACATTTTTTTTTTTTTCAAAAAACTTATAGTAATTTTCATATTAATTGTGTATGTGACAAGGGACGGACATGGGCAGCGAGAAAGACAAACGAATGGAAATTCTACTAAAAGAATTTTTTTTTTTTATTTTGTTTCAAAAATTTCTCTCCAATTTAATTTTATGTTTTTTTCAAGTTATTAATTTTTAACCCTTTCTTCATTTATATCATTTATTTTTTTAGTGGCCAAGGAAAAGAAAATTCGAAATTGTTGAAATAAAAATCATTTCGTTAATGAGTAATGAAAACAACGTGTTGTCTACCAATTAAACTTCGTTTACTTATGTATATCATTGCGCGACGCAGCAACATTCAACATTCGCATAAAACACCCAATTGCCGTCAGGTTAAATTAGCCATCAACATAATGGAGGTAAGTAAGTATGGTAACAATTGCTAAATACTATTCTATTCTTAGCTTTCTTTTTCATTTTTCATTTTTTTTTTTCTATTTCATTTTTTATTTCTTAACGGTCCTACCACATTTTAATCATTTATTTCCGTCCGTAACTCTTTCCATCATTGTGCCATCAAATGTGATTTTTTTCATTTCTCTACTTTAAGATTTCTCCCAATTTATTCATTCATTTTTTTTTTTTTTTGCCACAACGGCAAACGTCAATTAAAAAATCAGTTTTAATCCGTTAAAAATGAAAGGTTTCCGAAAGTTGGTTGGCAGAAGCTAAATAGGATTTTACTGGTGGTTTCTCACAAAAAGATTTTAACGCATCATTTTGTAAAATTTCTTAGAAGGAAAAGTTTTTCTCTTTTTTTTTTTTTTTTTTTTTTTTAAATACTTTTCAAGCTTTGGAAAATGGTGCATTTTTAATTATAAGTAAAAGGATTTAGTTAAAGGATAGATAACCGTAGATAATTTGACCTCTTTTTACTTTTTTAATGCTAACAGTAAGCAATAGCTTGGATTTTTTTTTTTTTTTTTGAAATGATTTTAATGATATAACGAAAGGCTTAAGAAAGAGAGAAAATGACTTGAGTAGGAATTTCTTTCATCAATTTGAACATTTTACAAAGATTTAATATTTTATGTGATTGAAGATGTGATGACAAGAATTTTTAAAGATATTTTGAAATCCGACAATGTAATGCCATCAACGGTAAAAAAGGTGCAGGTTAGATCTGTTACTTAATTAGCAAAGCCCGGGAATATGTCCAAGATCTTCTAAAGTAAAGAAGCTACAAAAAAGTGTTGCTAGATCAACATTTGGAGGCAAGCAGGAAAAACCCACATAATATATCGCATTTTGAATATTAGTTAAGCCCAGACATGAAATTTCTTCTGCGTCCATATATTATTTCGGACCAATAAAGTGATTGATGTTGAACCGGACATTTTTGAACCCTACACCGCTCGTGATGGAGAGCGTGGCAAGTTTGTTAAGATGTAACAGAACGACTTAAGACAGACCTAGTTCGATCTTTCGGCCAAGCTTCAAGTACAGTTATTGACGTTGAAAAGAACATTTTTGCGCCCTACACCGCTCGTGGTAGAGAGTGTGGCAAGTTTGTGAGTATGTAACATTTAATGTAGACCTATCTACCATTAATATTGGTCGCTTCGAACAATATACTGTAAGCTTGTCTACCTCCTCTCTGTTTCCTGCTTTAGTCAAAAAATTTCAAAATATCCCAGCGATGATGTTTATGGCAAACAATTACAAACAAAATTTTGTTTTTCACTTAGCATCTAATTAATTCTTGGACGTTTACGTAACACAGGACTAACGAAAACATTGAATCGAATTTCTATTGCTCACATGACATAACACGAAAAAAGTAAAGCAAATAATGTATGAAAAAAAATTGTTTCTTCCCATCAGAGTTAACTAAATTGAACTTTAATTTTTGTTTTTATAGGCTATCGGGGTTTTCTTTACTAAAGCAAACATCACACATACTAATGCATGAATAAAACATGAATCATTGGCATGAAGTTATCTAATTGCCTTTTCGACATCCATTTAATCTCTATTAGCTCCCTTTACCTCTGATATATGCATGCATGCGTGTGTGTGTTTGTGTGGGAATGTGTGGGAATGTGTGTGCGTGTTGTAATTCCAAGTAACAAATTGAGCTCTTCTTCGGAAAAGAAAGCATTGATTGCATTAGAAAGTTTGAGTGTAAGTCCATCCTCCTATCTATTTATTAGGTTTTGATTTTTCCCTTTCCCCACTCACTTGCTCGCTTTCTTGTTATTTGTCCTTTGCTATATAGTCGATGCTTATAAATTATTTGCTCGAAAAACATTGTGCGTGCGTGAATGTAAGATTCAATATATAAATAAAGAAAACTCTTTCCAAAAAAAATGAAAAAAAAAAAAGGCAAGAAAAAAAAAATGAACTACTACTCATTGCTGATGATGAAAAGTCTCACGTGTGCTGTAAGATAAATTTGTTAGTCGTTAAGGTATGTGAGAGTATCAATAAATATTATATAAGGGTTGCTCGCAATCTCACCGGGTACGGGTCAATTGGAAAAAAACAAGAGTTTTAGATGTTAACGAATGCGCCAGAACGAGAAAGAGAGACACAGAGACAGAAACAGAGACAGAGAGTGTGTGTATGTGTTTACGTGTGTGTGTGTGTGTGAATGTATGTTTATTTTAGCATCTGTAACAGTTGTTGATGACCTTATAATTGTAATAGCATTCAATAGAATAAGGCCAGTGGCAATGGCGATGTAACTGCTGTTCGTGTGTGGGATGTATTTTTAATTCTTATCAATTGTTATTTGGGGAATAATTCACATTCAATGATTTCGAATATGCTCTTAAAGCGTTTTCCTTAATTTTTCTTTTACGCTTTTAATGATTTCTTTTTTTTTCGCATATAAGTGAGCGATGATTAGTGTTTTCATAAGTAACATACATTTCTTTTGATTTCGATTCGCATTCTTAACAACGAGTAAAACGATATCCGAGAAAAAATACTTAAATCCTTTGATGCTTTTGAGCTTGTTAAACGGAAACGTGATAAAACTAAAATTTCCGTAAATTTTTTTTTATGTTGTCTTTCCCTTGCTCGTTTGATTACTCGTGTTTTCCATGATAAAATAACAACAATAATTTTAACGAAAAAAATGCAAAAAAAAAAATAAATAAAAAAGTATTCACTTACAATGAATCTTGATAATTGAAAATATCTCTCTTAGAGCGAAAATAACCTTTGAAGGAAAAAATTATTTTTTATTATTATTATGATTGCTTTTCATAAATTCAGAAATTAAACATCAAAACCACACCTTAAAATCAGGCATAATAACGGTACTATCATATATATATATATATATATATATATGTACTCCTGTAAATACAAACAAGAACCAATTTCACGCTAAATTAAATTGTAGAACAATAGTTGAAGTGTCCTGTCAACACCCTCCAAGCAATAAATAGAAAAACTCTAAAAGAATTGTAAAGACATTGAAAATGTGGAGAAAAAAAAAAAAAAAAAAGAAGGGGGAAAAAAAAACAACTCACGTGAATATATTGCGCTTTTAACAACACGTTTTCAAATTTAATTCTTAACGTTGCAGATGAGATACTGCTTTCAGCTCTGCTTTCTTCTAACTACAGTCGTTACTCGATACTCGGATAGCAGAGCAGTAGTCTGACATAAACTTTATTCAAAAAATAGCTTAAGGCATCTTTAAAAGAATACACACTCATAGCATATTCACACTCTCCACTTCATCACTTTTGCTTTCCCTCCCGCTCTCTCTCTCTCTGTCGTTCTCCTTACTTCCCTCATCTGGCTGTATTCTGGAATAAACTCGCAAGTCTCCAAACATAAAAACAGACGTCTACGTTTTACATTGAAGACCTTTTGTGGTTTTCCTTGGCAAGAGTATTTCATCGTTTCTACAACGTTGTTGGTGGTGGTGTACCAGGCATAATAATAAAGTACAAGACATACCAGTACACAGAGATACGAAATAAAGTGCACCTTAGGCGCATTTGTGTCTCACCTATTGAACGTGTCTGGCATAATTTTCAAAATAATATATTCTCGCACCGGAGACCAGTTTGTTATCATACAGCATAACTAGTACTGCGAAATCGGTTTTTATTTTTTTTATTTTATTTTTTTTTTTTATTCTTTTTTTTTTTTTTTCTTCACTATATTTAGATTTATGTATGCTTGGTTTTGCTTCTCCCGTACTTGGCCAAAGTACACATTAGAAATCAGTTAAAAAAAAAAAAAAAAAAAAAAAAAAAAATAAGGAAATCGTTGCATTTTGTAATTTCTTTTTTTTTTTTTTGTTGTTGTCGCGATATGAATGACGCTTGCGAACAATAGCTTTACATACAAGTATGTGACGTGTTTGAAAGGTAGAAAAAAAATTATATGTCAACTAACTTGTCAGTTGCATTGTTTTCCTATTTCTCATTAAAATCCAACAGAAAAAAATACACAAAAAAAAAAAAAGAAGGCAACAGAAAATAACGAAAGTGATGTCATAGCGCTTTAAAATATATGCAAAGTCTAATGAATTGTTATGAAAAAAAAAAAAAAAAAATTGCATTTCAACAGGATGGCAGGTAACCAATACTTACTACTTCTATATAATACGTCGATTAAGTTTTGATCGGATATTGATTCAAGTCTCTTGCGTTAAATTATATAGAGAGGTAAACGTTTTTATATATAAATCTTCCTGGCAATAATTCGTTCACACTCTTTGCTCACCTATTTAGTTATGGGGCTCATTTAGCAACTATGAAATACTTATTCCTTTCCAGGTCTAATTGGAACGACGAAATGGGATGGAAGCTTTCTCGTCTCAGTGATTAGTCTACTGATACTCAAGTCCTACTTATTAGGAGAAAGTTTTCTCATTTTTCAAGTTTTTTTCACATATCTGGTCAAAGTTATTGTTTTGCGAAACTTTATTGTCATTTCATCCGAAGGCAAAATTGGCTCATTTCCATTAACTGCAATATCATTGTACGATGATACATTGATGACATTACTGCCAAGCATTTCAATCGATGTTAAGCAGCGTGAGTAGAATACCTTTCTAATAAGATCAGCGTTATTAAGAAGAAGAAGAAGAAGAAGAAAGATAAGGCTTAGATTAGTTTAGGTTATTTATTGTTTTGTTCATTCATCAACCTTAGATGCTATTGATAGCTTTCAACGCGCATGAACGTTCGTCATATATTCTTCTTATTTTTTTTATAATTAAGTTCGTTCCGTAAACTTGTGATTTTTATTTATGTATTGGGAACAGTATAAGACGAGGAAGTATATATAGAAATGAGAAAAAAATTACGGGCTATTTAGGGAAGAAACAATTTGTGCTTCTGACTACCTCTACATTTACTTCTAGATTACATAGGTTCACACAGGTCTT